AAATAAAGCCACAGAAGAGACCAATATTTTTCACATAATTTTTATGATATTTATTTGCCATGCAGTCCTGTAAGCATTGCAATATTTCCCAGTGTGAAATAAAATAAATTAAAAATAAATTAAAAAATAAACATAAATGAAATGTTAAAACATAAAATAAATTACGAAACAAGCAAAAATACATTTTTAACTACTGAAATCAGAATACCAACTCTTCATGTAAAGGCATTAGCATTGCACTAGTGATGCACGAGCTAATTAAACTCACCTTGCTATTTGTTCTGCAGCCCCACTCTCTGGCATTTCAAGGATCATGCAGATGCTTCTGAGATGTGTGTCAAAAGGTATGTGGCCACATGTCCAAACCCACTCAGTGCTAGTAAACAAATGATCATGAACTCAGTACCTGTACATGTTGAGTTAGCAGGAAAACAAGCACATTCTCTGTGTTTAACCCAACTGCAGTTATTGCATTTTCAGAGCAGGCAAGTTTTGCATTAATTGATAGGCAGAAAGCACCCCACAGATGTGGAGGCAGCAGCAGCACTGTCTGCTTACTGGGGATGTTACCTCCCTGTTTGTTTCTTTCTTTCCAATGTGGCTTTTATTCTCAAGTTGATCTCACTTGTGAAGAGAAGCATCAGTCACAGTGTAGAGTGTGATTCCCTGTTTGGGGCAACAAGGAAATAAGAGGAACTCCCAAGACAAGTTATTATACCCACAAATATAGCCCAGGGAAGAAATTTCTGCCTATCCAATACACTGCTTGCATGGCACTGCTGCATGTAGAAATATGGAGACTCAAGTGAAACAGGTAAGAGACTTTTGGGTGCCTGAGTTTCAAATAAGGTGGTGAAGGTGCGAGGAGAAAATTCACCCCAGGTGGTATTTTCATCCTGTAGTCAAATGTGGCTTGCCAAATTGAAAAAGTCTGCCTTTTCAACTGCATCTTAAATTGCAGACCACTTGAAAAGATACCTCAAGGTAAATATCCCAATGTATTTTGAAAGTTTGAGTTCTCAGCATAAGAGTTCAGAAACAGGTGGGCAGGGTGCAGGTACCCTGAGAATTGGAAGGTAGGTAGAAAACACACCATCAGGGCAGAGGAAGACATTTTTTTACCACAAAAACCACTGAAAACAAAACATCCCCCTCAAATGTCAGCTCTGCAGGATAGGGTTGTTCTTTGCTTTCCAGCAAGTACCAATGCAACATTTAAAAAGGTACTTTGTGATTATTTTCCCTTTCCTTAGCCTAAGCTTTCAGGCAGCTGTGGTCTAACACAGTATTTTGTGCTTCCTGTGAGGAGGCAGACATCGCCCTTTGACAGTACCTGCTGGGAGAACATGACATACTCTCAAGTAATCTTTTCTAACAGGGAGAAAATTACATTTTGTGTAAAAGGTTTTCCCAGATTTATGCCTCAGTTTACCTAGGAAGGACAAATATGATTGTCAGAACACATCTAAAACCTGTTCAAACTAAGAAAGGACACCAGCTTAGATCCTGCTCATCAAGAGACACAGCAGGAAGCCTATAGAGGCTGTTGGTGAAGGCTCAGTGAGATATTTCAGCTGTAACCTGTTAAGTTTCAAAGTAGTGCAAGTGTGATATGCAAAGCCACGGGGTCTGGAACTCTTGGTAGCTTGCTATATAAACTTAAACTTTCCATCTATTTTTAAGACATGAGTGAAGATATTCTGCAAGGAATTAACTACAGTGTAAAGGGCTGGGTCTGAATGGAAAGAGTTCAGTATAAAACACCAGTCTCAGCCTCACTCAGAAACAGATTAAAACTACACTGACCTTCCTGCTGCTTAATCAGCTCATTTTTCTACATGCAAGAATCATTCAAGAACCAGGATATTATGAAAAGCAGAAATACTTAAGCAAGGCATATGATTAAGTTGCAGTAACTAATTATCAACATTTTTCAAGACATTTATTCTTCTGGTGAAGCTACTGCTGAGGCAGGAGGAGGTTGCCTGACTTCCCCCCCAGTGACAGAATGACACAGTACTGCTCTCCTCTCTGGCAGAGCTGCTAGCCCTGCAGGTGAGCTGCTCCCTGCCCCTTCCACTCGCTCTCTATCCCTCACTTCCACTCTCTCCTCTACCCTCATACTGGCTGCCCTTCATGCTCTGCTCCTACTTCCTCTCCTAGCCAAAAAGGCCAGCTATTTCTGTCATCTATTTGTACACTTGCTTTTTTCTTTCAGAAATGTCTATTAAAACTAACAAAACAAAAAAAAGAGCAAAATAATTATATCTCAGGCCTGCTCAGTGCTTGACTTAAAATATCTCTCTCAATTAGTTGTCCAAAGCTCTTCTCATCTCTGGAATCCCCTCTCCCTAGCATAGCCTATGGTCTTCAGGCTTACAGGGGGGGTTGCTTTCAAATAAGGTTTTCTACATGATTTCTAAGCCAGCCAAAAGTGAGCAATCCTGCCTTGACCAACAGCTCCACTGGGATCAATGGGCCCCTGCACACAGTAACTGATTCATCTTTAGACCTCTCCTCATCTTTCTACTCCTTTTGTCCTGGCCTTCCTAGTACCAAATTTCAACTCAGACAGGTCAGTCTTATTTTTTAGAATATCATTAATTTTCATTGCAACAGAGTTGTTTTCACTTTAAAAAGTATCTATGGGCAGTCAGAAGAACCACAGATCATAACAGTCTGTGAAAATGATACTGGCTGAGGAGTACCAGCACTTTGCAGCCTACAGAAACACGTGGCTGTGCATGGGAAGGAAAATGGAAACAAGGGGACAAAGGCCCTGAACATGTAATTGCCAGAAGTTTAATGGGGCATAGAGTTAAAAGACAGTTTGGGTTTTGCCCTTTTTTTCCCCTCTTTATTATAATGTCCCTTAATTGCTTCACTTCCCAAAAGTCCTTAGACAAACTGGTGTCCCACAGAAACACAGCAGTGAAGAGAAGACAAAGGCTTGGCCAGCTAAAACCAGAAAGCTTTCCTTCAGATCCTCCAGAGCAGTTCCTGGTCTGCTGGGAAAGAGGTAGCCAAGGAGAGTTTCACAACAGTCCTTAACAGTGAAGTAGAAATCAAAAAGTAAATTAAAAAGAAATAAAAAGAGACTTAATTTTAAGAATTTTTAATTCCTAATTTCTCTAGAGATTATAAGGCATTTTCTGGGAGGCAGGGAATTATTAAGATGCATATGTGGTCACTACTTATAAAAACTACCAACCTCTTCTCTGTTTTTCCATTTTCTCCCAAATTAGGAACCTACAAATACTTCAGCTTCCTCTGGATGCTTGGAATCATTCAGGTGCAGCATTCAAAACTCCTCACAATAGACTTGGATGAAGAGATATCACACACACTGTATATACAGGCTTGCAAACTTAGGCAGCACCAGTCTACAGAACAGAGTGGGGAGTAATTTTTTTCATTCATAACCCTTTATATTACTGCAGATTTTAATGCTGCCAAGTGCTAAGGGACTGTAAATCTAGCATCTTAAGTTATTGCCTTGTATGTGGAAACCGAGCCTTGCGGTGTGCTTCTGGGGTACACTTTCACAATCAGTTAGGGCATTCGTCTTCTTCAGAATTAGAAAATGGAAGTTTAATCACCTGGCCATCCCAAAATAGAAAATAATTTAAACATTAACAATGTATTAAAGAAAACCTCTCCCATTTTTTTTCAAAAACATGTTTTTCCACATTTATACATAGTTTGCCACAAAAGACTTGGGCCAAATCCTTTTTCTTGTACTGTTCCCTCTTTTCATTCTCCTGATGCTGATGGGCCAAACCATGAGATCTTCACTGCCCCCTCCAATAGCTCTGCTGTTTTAAGATGTTACTGTTTCTGTCTCTACCTCATGCTGCTTTTTACCACTCCATCACTAAACCTAGACTAAAAAAACCCAATAGCACTTCTCAGCCACCCAAGAGCAAAGTCCTGCTCCTCCTTCCCACAAGGCCTTTGGCACTGAGATGCCAAGCTCAGGACACAAACTCTGCAGGGGGGACATCAGCCCCTGGCACAAACTGGTGCCACACACCTGCAGACACCCACCTTTCCCACTACTGCAGATGCTTTGGCCACACACACCTTCCCTTGGCTCTAGGTAAGATCAAAAATGTCCTCTGGTTTGTCACCTCGCCATCAGAGACTCCTGTGCATTATTATCCTTGGGGTTTTAATTAGCTGTTTGCTATAAGGGTACATTCCATTGCCAGTGTAATCACCCAATGATTCTGCCTAGGAAGTTCCTTTCCTAGCTGACTCATGTGCTAAAGACTCCAGTAAACTCAAGTTCTTCCTGAAATTTGGAGAGTCCTGTTCTTGACCAGAGAACGACTGAATTTCACAGGGAATATATCAGAGGGATATGAAATAACCTGATATCATGAGTAAAAAAAATAAAAAAAGTATGAGAAATGCATGCCTTTCACATTTTTCTAATCCAGTTGCAACCCTTAACACATTAACTTTTACTAAGCTTACCGTGTATTTGAACTGTAAAGGATACACAGCTCTTTTTGATGTTCTTATTCATGTGCCATTTGTGCTAAAAAACTAGACAGTTGGTTTTTTATTGTTTTTCACAGAGATCAGTTTCTCAATTCTTTTGAGTGACAAAATTTCCCATTTGTTTTGATCATTTGGGTTTTAATATAAAAGAATCATGCTAATTCCAAGTGGTTTTACACCTTTCAGTTCTGAACTCAGTGGATTTGTCTTCCTGTTTAAGCTGCCCTCAGAATTTCTGTTTCACTGTGAGGTCATATATCCCAGCTGGAGAAGTCATTCTAAACTGGCAGTTGCCTTTCATTTTTCAGAATCCTATGTGGAATTGCCTAGATAACTAAACTTGTTCAGTCTGCTTCTGAAATAGGAAGATGCAGATGTCAACAAATGGGTGAATCAGTCTCAGATTGCTCCGTACAGTGTTACATCAGGAGTAGGATGTTTTCCCTGAATGGCATGTCGGTTTGGGTGTGCTCCAAGACAACAGAAGGACCAGCATTGTGCCTTACCCTATTGTGTTGCAACACCATGGCTCTGCTAACGTGAGTTTAACTGTGAATGTAGATCATTTGCCTTAAGCACAGCTTTTCATTGACACTTATTAAAACTGAAATAACCCACTTTCTGGATACCTCAGGTTTGATATTTAAAACTGTTGAGAATGTTAAAGTCCTGCTGACATAAAAGGTGAATCCACTCCGAACAAACATGGTACTATGCAACATTAAAACACCCCGAGAACTCATTTTCTGAGTGTCTCAAATTTGGTACCTGGAATAAGTGGAACCTGGTGACTGTACACAGTGCTCTAGCTACACGTGTGTGAAAGAGGAGTGACTGCACCCACAGCAGGGGGCTGCTGCTTTAGGAAAAAAGTGACAGGACCACTCATGCGTTTGCATGGAAAGCCATACCGCAGAGAGAGCACCTGTTTTCCTAATCTCAATAAAAATCAATCAAATGGTGCAAACAGCAAAGAAGTTATTTGCACTCTGGACTCTACACTAGGTCTGTCAGAAAGACAGGACTTTTTGGTCTGATATATTAAAACACTGCCAGCTTTTAAGATGAGGTGGAAAGTTCAGCCTACACAGACGACAACTCTCCTTTGTCACCAGAGAGCTCAGAAGGAAAAATTATTACACTCAGTTGAAAATTTAAGCTGAATTAGAATCATGCCACCAGAAAGACTGTTTGCTCAGTTCTGCTTTCATAGTTACTGTCTTGATATTTGGGAGAGAGAGTAATAATGTGCCACAGTGTAGAGGAGCCTTCTCCAATTTATCCACTTGACTTCTTACATCTTTTCTTCCCATTTGAACTCTTGTAACATTCTCAATCAAAGGTCACAGGAGACACTGATACGCATGGAAACTTTATATATGGCAAGGCAAGGTTATCACACCTGACAAACCCAGGCTCTCTCTAATACTCAGAATCCCTCAGAAGAGAGACGCTGAACTTGGGGTCATTCCCATTTGTTTTCAAGCAAATTCTTATATCTACATACATTCATACCCCAGCTATATATACATTTGTATAAATTTATCCATATATATTTACTGTACCTATGTCTATATATATGCACATTTTGATTCAGCAAAAGCTAGACAGATTACAGCTACTCCCCGGTTAATTTTTTCAAGGGACTAAAAAGACCGTCTTGAAAAGAAAAAAAATAAAATTAATGGTTCCCATTTCCAATCCAAATGAATAAAATCTCTCCATTTTACACTGTACAACTGAATAATTCATTTTCAAAACAAAAACCTTTTCAAGTGTGTTTTGAAATGTTCATGGGAAAGACATCATATTTTATTCTGCCCTAGCTTTTGCTGTCTTGCTCAATATGACAAAAGTCACCAGCAAAAGAACAGGAATAAAATGTTGTCTCCTGGAGGATAAATCCTCTCACATCATTGCTGTGAGCCATCTGCCATGCATTTTTAAGCATCTTGCCCCTAACATCAGTATTAAGTGGCTGCAAGGAGCACTCAGCATCCCAGGCAGTTACCAACCGATTGGACTGACTTCTGGAAAATGCCCTTCTAACAGCCCCTTGCTGGGGTGAATCCAGTGAGCATGGCTATGCATTTGGAAAAAGAAAGGTCATCAAGGGGTGTGTTTTTTACAATGGTGCTGACTATGGCCTTGAATTTTGTTTAGCATGTGAATACCTTACATTTACTACCTGAGGATTTTAAAATAATTTTAGCTTTAAGGGAAAGCTGATGGATAAAACGAGACATAAAAAAGGTGAAAGAATCTACCTGGCTCTGGTAGACCTGCAGAAAGGGAATAAGCCACACGGAATTATTTCCTTCACTCCCATGGTTCAGTATGTAACCTCCTTCAGCCTCCACAGTGTTGTTACTTGGAAAGAGTCACATGATGCTCCCAAAAGCTGGGGATACTCTTAATGGCATTACTAGTATAACAAAATTGGCCTAAAAAATCACCTCTGCAAACACCTCTTACAAATGGTAAAACAAAACTCTCTCAAGCTGAAACAGATAAATAATGGGAAAAAATAACCCATTTCAGATCACAATTCTGACAACGCCATGTCAGCAAGAAAAATAATAGAAAGTTTAAGAACACTCAGCAACCTCTTGAGCATTTGTATCTTCTTTCCACGTCCCATCACACTTTACCTCTTTACCTTTACTTTTTCTCATTAAAGCTTTTGTGTTTTTTGTAAGGCATTTCTGATGTATTTTTTGCAGAGAAGCATATTTGCTTTTCTGTACAACACTATTTTACCTCTATCCTCTCTGTCCCCTTTCCTGATGCTTTTTTTGCCCTCACATTTATTATTTTATTTTCCCTTCCACCCCTTATTTTTGGGTTTGTTCTGGTTTGAATTACAAAGAAGTGATAAATTCTATTCAGTGTTATTAAAATGTTTCTTCTTGTATTCTGAGGTGTTGACCCCATTGTAGCTGAAGGCTCTTTTCAGGTCTAAATGGTGAATTTCTTCTAGTTTGACCTGCTGTCTCATATGTGTCCTTTAGTCACATGATACTGGAGCAGAAAAGACATGAAGATCCACTGTGGGATATAGAAAAGACCATAACCTTACAAAGTGAGTTTCTTTCAATTGCCTTTGACTGTGTGACTTTAGGGACACTTCTTCCTTCACAGGAGCACTGAGTGACACATAGGGTCTCACATTAAGCAAAGAAACACTCCTCAGTAACAAATATGAATTTGCCCTCTCTTCCTAAAAGTAAATGAAAAAACTCCAGCTGATATTCAAAGCAATAGGAGAAGAGTAAGGTTTTGATGTGTACACATATCATATGTATAGAGACACAAAATACGTAATCGTACTGAGAAGCACAGAAAGCATGTTACTAACCTCTGGCATATTAACAACTGAGCTGCTGAGTTCATTTGTGCCATCAAAGAATAATACTGTTTCATAAACACATGAAAAGGTCCATGCAGGGGAATGTTTGATCCTGGGGAGATCTCTCTCTAAGACACAATGGGTTTATTTTTTTATTTTTGCACATTTGCCTGCATTTTCTGGAAAAAAAGTGGGTTTTACTGAGAAGGGCAGCCTGCTCATGCTATAATCTATGTCACTGGTTAATCATGTGCCTTCTGAGCATAAGGGAGTTTTCACTCTCACCTGGCTCTAGCACCTTTGTTTTCTAAGGCAGCTTCCACTGCTTGAGGATAGTGCTCTTTGTCCATTTAAATTTTACTCGTTTACCCTTTAAAAATTTCCTGCTGAAAAAAGGTTGAACTGTGTAGTTTCGGTTTAGCTCCTGTTCAGTTTTCTTGTCAAAATCTCTATCCTCCATGCAATTAAAAAAAAAAAAAGACATTTAAATACTGAATAAGCATCATTCTTAAAATTGTCTGAAAGTTCAGCAGAGTTGTTAGGTCAAAGTGACTGTAGAGCAGCTGATTTCTGCCTGCCCTGGGGAAATAATGCCCTGGAGACCCATATTAACCTTCCAGTACCACAGCGATCAAATTATCCAAGCTTTCTGCAAACACTAGCTTTTGCCCCAAGATGACAGTGACCTGGTTGACTCTTCTCTATTCCCTCCTAAAGCACTGGTATAGGTATTGTGGAAAGCCTCCCTCTTGGGGCTAGAAATAAGAGAATCGCTCAATGTGTGACAATCTTATCAGTTCTCTCCCCTTTGACAATGAAGAAGTCATGTTAGTCAGTGGCTGAAAGACAGAAAACCATGACAAAATGTTTTGCTTTCAAGTTCAAAATACCTGACTACATGGAACAGGGAATCAGTGGGTGAAAAAACATTGTCAAGTTTCTTATTTGCTGCCATTTGTTGTTGCTGCTGGAGGATGGCAGAGCTAATACGGTTAAGGGAAATTTATTTTCAGTCTGCAGAACTTTGACTCAAGCAAGACACAAATCATGACACCAACACTGGCCTATATTCAATAACTGATGTGAAATTTGCAGTTCAGATTATTGTTTCTTGTCGTGTACAAATTCATGGAGGGGGTGAGGGAAAAAAGCAAAGCAAAGGGAGAGAAGAGGAAGAAATAAAAGGCTTAACTTTGTCACAGGCTTACTCTTGCTCTAGCAAACAGCAAAAATCTCCAATTTCCATTGCCTGTGGCTAGATTTCAAAGTAAAATTCACCATGACATTTCCTGTGTTCAGAGGTCACCACTGGCTGAGTCAAGTCACCACAAGCCATCTCTATTACCTGTTCTTAGGACTGGTAAAATCAGTGCTTTTAAGTAAAGAATATGAAGACCTAAGCATAAACATAATTCTAGGTCCCCAGACAAAATGAAATTAACTGTGTGCGCGTATGAGAGAGAGAAGACCTTTCTCCACTCCAAATTACTTCCTGATCTACTTCATACTGATTCAAATACTGTGAATACTTACATCCGTTGCTTTTGGATGCAGCAATGTTGACTGTCATTCAAAAACTCATTAAGAAGCCAGTAGATATCTCCATTTCAAATAACAAGTAATGACATCAAGAAAATCTGATAACTTGTCAAAGAAAAAGCATGTAAGACATGCAAAAACAGTGGCCTTCTTTAGTTCTCCATGATGGAACAGGACTCATTATATGCTCCCTCTTCCTTGACACACACATGCCTTTGTGTGAAAGGGCAGCTTGAAGGGAAAGGGCAACACGGGGCAGAAGGCAATACCTGAAGAAACAAACCAGGTAAAAGAGACAAGACAGGGTAACGTGAGCATATCTATTTAATGTACATATATTTTCATCAGCTAATAGTTAGCCCTAAATTCAAAGATGGAGCTGACAATGCTTGTGAGCACATGCATAATACCTGCTGTCAAACAGAGCTGCTCTGCAGAAGGCGGTGGCAATCGTGATCTCTTGGAACCACTTAATGTGAAAGGTAGAAATGCAATATAAAAAGGAAAATAATATGAGGCAATAGTTTTTCACACCCAACCAAAAACTCATGTCAGGTGCTCTGGCAATGAATGCTACAGTAATATAATTTCCAATGTAAATCACAGTTTATATTAAAAAGGTAAAGAAAGGGAAAAAAAGGAAAAAGAAAGAAAAAGTTTAAGCTTTCATACATGCTAGTAACTTTTACATGTGTCTTCCATGTACAAGTGTATATAGATATAAATACATGTGTAAGCATTACATGTGTGCACTAATATATGAATACCCCAAATATCATAAAATTGAGGTAGATAAAAACCCTCTTTCTTTCAAAAGTGAAAGCAAAAGCTTCTTGTAGTCTACAGAACAAAATACAGAGGGAAAAAAAGAGGTTACAGTTCAGAAAATCGGTGTGCTGTGCATACCATTTTGTGTGACATAAGGTCTACATGTCCATGGCTCAGACTCATATTTCTAAGTGCATGTGTAAAACAGCTCAGACAAAATCTCTGTACATGTGGTTGGGGAAGACAGTGGAGCTGAGCCAGCAACAGTGTCGTTCTGTTGTAGGATGAGCTGGTACAACTGTATTGCCAGTGTGGGAAAGGCCTCCAGATCTTTGTAACTCTCTGATAGTGGCTTAACTGATTTCACTGTGGTAGGCAAACAGCAGTGAGCTTCCTGTACTGTTTTCATTCCTGGTGTTCTCCTATAAAGTCATTGAACTTTTTCTGTGGGAGATAAAAAATCCCCTTGGAATGCATCTTAAAAAAATCTATTTGACCTCTCTTTTACTCCAGGGTCATAAACAGCTCTGATGCTCAGAGAAGGCTGCAACCTTCAAGACAGTTCAACCAGCAAGAAGATGACTTCTACCTTCTGTATATGCAAAACAGGATGCCTGAGCATGCCTTTTAATTGCCTCTGCTGCCTATTTCAGTAAAGGAACTGCACTGCTGTGCCTCACAGGAAGTGACTTCTTCTCCTGCCCCCCGCCCCTCCCAACCGATGGAAAAAGGCTCAGTCCCAAGTCCCACAATTCATCAGGAAAAATGAAACCAAAATGTAGAGCTGAGGGAACAGAAACTTTAAGATTTTTTTCTTCTAATGAACTGCCACACTGCACATATTTGGAATGTAGGCCAAGATTTCATATTTTTTTAAAAAATTGACTAATGGGAACTGCTGATGACTAGTGCATTGCTGGTTTAGTTTTGCAGCTAGGCACCTAAATACAAAGGGACCTCAGAAATACAGCTTTGGTAAGGATGAGCATATGATTTCAGATTGCTCCTTGCTACCAAAATATACACTTGAATCAAATTCGCAATGAAAGAGTTAATATAATTGTTGGGCCCTGGTCTAGTCTGAGTCTTTGTTTTTACAGGGCTTATCTGAGCTACATCATTTTCTTATTTATACTAGAACCCCCAAAATATGTCTCCTGTTGCGTGCACACTGGAACCTCACTATGGAAAGTTATCAATAAAAGTGTTTACTGTTTTAACCCTGAGTGACCAAATCCAATTTTATGCCCTGTACCGAATGTTCCTCTGAACGATTCAAGGAAAATTAATGTTACTTAGCCTGAGGCTAGAAGCAACAAGAGAATTAGCATGCATGTCACTGTGTTCAAATCCCTACAAAAGTTGACAATTCTATTTGCAAGTATAATTCCAGACTGTCCAGGGACATGACAGACAAGCAGGTGCAGACTAGCCTGAAAAGGAAGCTGCTCTAAGGCAGCACATGTAACACAAGCAGAGTGAATCTCCCCACTTCCCTGGAAAGATTTTAAGGACATGCTTTAATGAATTGTTTGACACAAACCTGAGTATATTAAAGAAGAGAGGCAACAGAAGGTAAGCAAAGTATTAGTCTGTGCATCCTTTCCAAGCCTTCTTTTTGCCAAGGCAGCAATAGCCTTGTTGTCTCCTCTGGAAAACTGGGGAACTGAACATTCACATTATAAAGCAATGAAAGAAGAGCACTTACTAAAATAATTCAGGGAAAACACTGATGGTACTGGAATTCACTAGCAAGGAACAGCTTTTGTAGCTGGCTAAATGCAGGAGGGAGGCTTGACAGAGGCCATTTTGGCAGAAAAACTAGATGTTATGTTCAGTGTATTCTGAACAAGTACTTGGCACACAAAGTGAACTCAGTTGAATGTATTCAAGGAGCAACAAGCTGTGAAATGTGTGTTTAGCTTAGTAGATTGGCAACAGTAGCTTCAGTCAAAGAAAGGACCACCTAGTTTCTTCTGTTTGGAGGTCTTGCCTACTACAGTTTGTCACAGACAGATTATATACAGTTCATATAGCTGGTTTTTTTCCAGTAATTTGCCTATTAATAAAGACAAGGTTGACTTTCCAATGAAGCATTTATATTACTCAGAAATTAAATAACTTGGTAAACCTCGTTAGAAATTGTCCCTACAGAACATGGTACGTTTTTGCTCAATCATCTATGTAGCATTGGTTTTAACCCCTGACACAGTGAAGGCCATGGCCATTGTGGTTAAAAGTTGTCTCTGCTGTCTCTAGCACATTATTGCTGAAGATCAAGGAGCCAAGTAGGAAGAATACTTTACACACCAACTGCTTGCAGTGAAACTTGCCTCTAAGGAAGAGACAATACAGATCTTGTTAAGTTTTATCCAGTAATCTGATTTATTTGGCTATCAGTAGCTAATGGAACAAATTATACCTGAGAGCAAATAGTAGCTCCTGTCTGTGGCTCACAGGAAAGCTGTGAGGTCCTAGGAGCTCATGCCCATACAATGTACAGCCTGTCTAGCACTGGGGCTGCTTTATGGACCTTTTTTTTAGCTTGGAAGTATACAGGGTGAAGGCAGTTCGATTTATGGAAATGAACAGATATAGGCATGCGTTTTCCCCAGGACTAATCCTTAATGTTTTCTTACCCATTAATAGAATAACACATTGATTTCATCACCGTTTTACTCCTCTTTCCATAAAAGGACAGGCAGGTTTGTTTTGTGTTGGGTTTTTTTCCCCCCAAAAATCTCTATTGAGCCTACTCATAGCAAAAGTCTGAGAAAATGATACTATTAAAACAATAAATAAAACCAGTCTCTCTTTTTAAAAAACATAGTTCTGGATTTTTTTGCTGTTGTTGTTGCTTATGTGAAAGAAGCTTCTTTTTCTTCAAAATTTTGCCTCCAATTCTGCAATACTATAATTAAGTGTATTTCTTCTAGAGCTATCTATTGATCCTTAATGATTAACTAGACTAAAAAAACTAGCTACACCTCCACCTTTAGTTAGGGTAGATATTCTTCTTCAAGATAATATATAACACTTACCTACTGATAAGCAAGAATATTGTATTTAAAAATTATAGTAATTGAAATACAAATTTTGGATGTACCTTAATAAACTTGTAAACAGATTTATTGTTTTAAATGACAATTTATTTCCAAAATTGTTGGGGGTTTTCCACTAATCAAGGAGGCAAAACTATTTTATGAAATGTAAAATATGACACAAAGTTGCACAAGCTTGAACTGTTCATTGGTTTGCTTTTTAAATTTCTCTTCATGCAAAAAATTCTAAAATTTGTTTTATTATAATGATAATTTAGTCCTGTTTTCTCTACTCCATCAACAGGGCTTGGAAATATTGGCATAAAATCTGACATTTAAAAAGAAAAAAACCCTGAAATGTCATTGGGATCCTTCAATTTACTCACTAGCTTCTTTTTGCGGACACTTAACTTCTTCAAGTCCTGAGACATATCTGTGTGGCCACTTGATTTAAACATATCCCACAATTTCTCAATTCACTGCATGACCCTGACACCTGACTCTAAGAAAAACACCTACTATTGAAAAAGATATGATGCTATCATGGGCTAGCAATGACGGATTAAACACAGGCCTGAATTCTAATGAATTTCAAGTGACAGGCACCTCTATTTAGTGCTATTTAATACTAACTTAGCAGTACCTAGCAATATGAATCTGAGGTCTGGATTAGGTTGCCATTCTTTCATACACCCCCAAATTCAACATCCTAATCTGTATTGCCTTCCTCTGATAAGCCTCTGGCTTTTTAGTGTGTTTATAAGTCTATTATAAACTTACCAACCTGCCCTATTACTAAATGCTTAGCACAGTTTATTCTGTCCTTGCACAATAGGAGCTGTTTATTCATTAGTTCTTTATTTACCAAGCTGATTACTACAAGTGGATACATACAACAGCCAGCAAGACAAACCAAACCAGGTACCATTAAAAATCAGTGCTGTTTACAGGTTTCTAATGAAAGAAAGCAAAAGAGCTCTTGCAACAGGAAGCATCTTGTCACTTAAAATACAATATATTAAGTACGGGATTAGAACACAAACCCCACAAATTATTCAGCACTGTGCATCTTCCCAGAAATTCACTAGATCCCAGTACTATTGTCACGACATCTTATGAAATTGAGTTATTTAGCTACTCACAGCAGATTAAGTGAGAACAGAAACTGCAAAAGTAGTCCACTAACAAAAACCCCATTCACTCCATTGAGCAGAAGTTCAGCTCCTTTATTTGAAATAGCTCAAAGACAGTATTCAACTAAGAAGCAAACCCAGAACTGACTGCCTTAAACAGCTGATGCATTACTTAAAATTGTCATGTTAAAGTCCTCCATGACCTGAGCCAACGGCCAAACTCACCGTGGTGCAATTCTTTTGACTTCAATGGAGTTGTGCTGGCAACCACCTCAGCTGTACTTGGCCCTCTGCCATTATTTATGCAAGGCTGTGCTGTGTGTCTTCTCTTGATAAATGCCAGCACTGTAGAGCTCCAAAAAATAAAGGAAAAAAACACTCTTCAGTAATCACAACAAGACGAAAAACACAGACGCACAAACTGCAGCACAGCAGATAAACAAGAATTTACAGCTGTGCTGTGCACAAGCACTTAGCAGAAGTTTTCTCTTGTATTTTAAAGAAAACTATAATGTCATAAATAGCATGAACTTCTTTCTAGTAAATAGACTACAATTTGACTCTTTCATCTTCATTTTGAGTCACAATTTTTCAATTAAAAATAGAAGTGAGGAGAGGCAAGACAGATACTGATTGACCTACGCAGAAACCCCTCTCCTGAGTTTAGCAGACTTCAGGGAGTGCAGGACTTGCAAATACGCTGTTACATCTTTATATTTTGAAATATTTTGCATTGCTACACTGGGTGTGAAGTAAAGCAAAATCTTCAGAGCTCAGAGGAACATGATTATCAGTTTATATTCAGACAACATGCCCATCAATTACAGTTACTAGAGGCTTTAGAGAGCCTTTACACAAGAATACTCTGACCTACTGTTTTACTGAATTGGTATAGATGACCTTCATACAATTGTAAGGCACTAAACTGTACCTACAGGGCAGGCTGTGGCACCTATTCCTCAGAAGCTGACCAACGTGCCAGGAACTCTGTGTCAGCATACAGCTCCTAAAGTCAACATTTTCCAGTTCCTATGTGCTGGTGGGTGTTTTTTAATAAATCAGTCTGATGTGTGTATGTATATGCAGACCTATGTATGTATATAAGATCAGCTTACTTTTTTCCTCATATTTATTTGAACAATAATAATTTACAAAAACTAGGTGTCATCTGGAATCACTGAACATATATTCATGTCATTCTTTCATCTGCTTAAAGACAGTGGTTAACCTTGTATATTCATTCACACATGCAATGAAACTGTCACGTCTTCCTGACACGGTCACCTGCTCACTGTGATAAATGAAAACTTGCAAGGGCAAATCTAAAAAAAGTCTAAAGACCACGTAGGTAACTGTATATTCAGTATTGTT